TGGGGGTGCTGCCGGGTTGGTCCGGAGCGGCGCTGCGGGACCAACCCGGCAGCCCCCAGCTGCTCTACCCCAGGGGTAGGCAAGAAAAGCCTGGTCTGCTGGGGGGGGGCACTAGCTGCACCCCCCACCCCAGCAGACGAGGGAGACGGGGGTGGCAGGACCGTCCAAGTCCTCCACGGCTTTGCTCCGTCTCCCTAGTCTGCTGACCTGGGAGACGCGGAGCAAAGCCGCAGAGCACGCGGGCAGCGGGACAGTCAAGTCACGCCACAGCTGTCCCACTGCTGGTGTGCTCCGAGGCTTTGCTCCCCATCTCCCTGGTCTGCTGGTCGGGGGACGGGGAGCAAAGCCGCGGAGCACGCCCACAGGGGGATAGCTCAAGCGTGCCCGGGTTGTCCCGTTGTGGGCGTGCTCCAAGGCTTTGCTTCCCGTCTCCCTGCAGACCAGGGAGACGGGGAGCAGCTTTTCTCGCCCCGGAGGATGGGGTGGCGGACCGCGGCGCATCTGGGCCTTCCGCCGCTCCCATCCTTCAGGGCGAGAAAAGCCCCATTTGTAACTGCGGATCCGACATAAGTCAGATCCGCGTAACTCGGGGACTGCCTGTACACTAAAACTTCAGGACAAACTTACTACAAACTCACTCTAAAAATGTTTATTTCCTGGCCAAACCTTCCAAACCAGGGAAGTCTCCTTTTCCCTGGGATCTCTCGCATTCCTCTTTCCTATTGTTTTTAAAGATTCTCTTTTTGCATGGGAAGTCAACTTCCATGGTTGGGGTGGACATGTGACTTCCCCAGACTAACTAGTGCTAAGACTTGAAGGACAGAAGAGATTAACAGTTGGTCATCAAGACTTGGAGGGTAACACCAATGACGGTGTTCATTTACACGTAAAAACCATAAAGCACTGCATACTCCATATGTCTAATTTTACACACGAGAATGATACACATACAAAAATAAGACAGATCCAGCAGATTACGAAATGAAGATAGGTTACAGGAAGCAATTTGTCCCAAGAACTTTTGAGTTATGTGCACTTGTGTCCATAAGTCCATTTCATAAAGCATGGGGAGGGGTCCATCATAGTGATACCTGGGGTGTCTTCTAGTCCAACCCTGCCTCGGAGGAGAGTTTAAATATTGGTCTGTAGATCCTGTTAACCAGTGTTCAGTTGTGCTGTTGGCAGTTTCATTTAAGAGAGTCTACCATGCTATCCTGTAGCAGTCAATTTCAGCCTTCTGCCTCCTGTTCTCTGATTCTTCTGCCAGTATCATGCTGCTGCCAAACTCCTGCCAGCCTCTACACATTAGCTTCCTTGTCCTAGTTCACAGGCTGCCTGCTGCTGCCCTTACTGCTTCGTCCCTAGTGCAAGCTCCTCTGCTGCTCATCTGTGACCTTTCAAGTCCCTCCTGAGGGAAAGGAAGAAAAGTAGCTAACCCGCTGCTCAGGAATACATTATGGTCCATCCTATTTCTGCAAGAGATAGTTCTAAAGAGCTGCATATTATAAATATTTTAAACCCTAAGCAATACTAATGAATTGTTGGCTCATTTCCATTTCTGCTTGGCTCTGGAAATTTCTGCCATTTAAACGTAGTTGTGTTTGAGTGAAGATACTCCCGGTGGCTAGCAGGCATTTTAATGACTTTGCAACTTCAGCAATATTTTAAAGAGTTATTTATGCAGTTATATAGTGTATAGTTCTTGAGTTTGTTGGATCATGGAAGTGTTATAGTACTGTACTCTGCAGCTGTGTCTACATTGGCACCCTTTTCCGGATAAGGGATGCTAATGAGACAAGTCAGAATTGCAAATGCCGCGGGGGATTTAAATATCCCCCACGGCATTTGCATGAACATGGCTGCTGCTTTTTTCCGGCTCGGGGCTTTGCCGGAGAAAAGCGCCAGTCTAGACGGGATCTTTCAGAAAATAAAGCCTTTTCCAGAAGATCCCTTATTCCTCTTAAAATCAGGAATAAGGGATCTTCCGGAAAAGGCTTTATTTTCCGAAAGATCCCGTCTAGACTGGCGCTTTTCTCCGGCAAAGCCCCGAGTCGGAAAAAAGCGGC